ACAGACTTGAAGAGGTAGATGGTATTGTTTGCATTTTGCAGACAGGGCATCTGAGGGTCAGAGAAGGTAGCTAAATTTACGTTTTCTGGGAAATAGATTTCTGTCTGACACCAGCGTTCTTACTCAAAACCCTTATGATTCTGCTTGCTTTGGGAGGGTCAGAGCAGCTTGTTACCTGTCCTGGCTGGGATGGGTAAGTGCACATTGTGAAATGAACTGAAAGCTGCAGAACAGCAGCTCAGCCCAGCTCATTCTGATCCTGAGGACATTGCATAAAGAGACATGAACAGACAGGATGGTGATTTCTGGGCTGGGGCTATCTTTAATGATGTTTTGAGTCATTTTCAATTCATCTGATTCATATTAAACTCTAAATGAATTAGTTCAGGTTATAAAATTATCTTCTCAGCCTAATCCATCCCTGCGGGTGTACATTTTTTTAATATCCCACACTCCAGTCCACTGGGGCTTGATACTCAGCTCTCTTGCGGCTTTCCGAGATGCAGGGATGGCAGTCCTCTGGGACTCCAGCCGGTTGCCAAGGATTTACCTTTGTTTTGTTAATGAATTCAGGAGGTCCTTTTTAGCATTTTTCTGTCACTCGGAGCAATCATTCAACTTGCAGGAGGGAAGAAAGATATTCCTTTTAAAATATATCATACCTTTTAATCATCTGTGAAAGAATCTTATCTCTTGGAACTCTCACCCTGGCCATCAGGATGGGAACAATAATGGGGAAGTAGTGCGGGTTCATCTTACACTGCCACACTTGGATTCTGCTTTCAATTTTACCAAAGGGAAAGCTAATGAATATGTGTGCATATAGATGCATATGTGCATAAAAGAAAGGGGCACTCCACAATGTGTGTGTAAGTCTATTTTTTTCCAGAATTTCCTTGTTAAGGCTAGAGAAATAATTCATAAGCCAGTGCTTGACACTGTATTTACTTTCTGGGGAAAAGTTTTCTTTTTCTTTTATTTTTTGTATTGTCAACAAGGTTGCAGTTTTAGGATGTTCTGATGCTCTCAGGAGTCAGAAACACAGACAGGAATGGACTGACAGCCTATGTCCCTTCATGAATCCACATTGGGCTTTACTCCACACTGTACGTTTAACCAAATAGGAGATACATGGAAAACCCCACATTTCCTTTTAATATCATCTGACAGTATCTTGCATCCCCATTGTGGTAGGTGGAATGGCTCCTCAGACATGTCCCTGCCCTTATCCCTGGAACCTATGAGCATGAAGGGACTTCACAGATGTCATTAAGGTTATAAAATTTAGAATCCTGGATTTATCTGGGTGGTGCAATCTAATCACATGAACCCTTAAAAGTAGAGAACGTTTTCTGGCTGGAGTCAGAGAGATGCTGCGGAGAAAGTTGGAGAGATTCAGTGTTTGAGAGGTATTTGCCCCACAACAGCTGGAGGGGACCGCGTGGGAAGCACGAGAAGAAATGGGCAAAGTCTCTAAGAGTAAAGACTGCTCCTGCCACCTCCCTCAGCTGGCAGCTGGCAAGGTCAAGGGACCTCAGTTCCACAGCTTCAACCAACAGTCTGAGTGAATTGGGAAGCAGATTCTTTGCAAAAGCATCCGGAAAGGAATGTTGTCCTGGTGATATTGTGATTTCAGCCTTACAAGGCTGCAAGGACCCAGCTGAATCTCCCAGGACTTGTGACCCACAGAAACTGCACTAATCAATGTATGTAGTTTTAAGCCACTAAGCTTATGGTGATTTGTTATATAGAGACAGTGAACCAATATGCTCTTTGTCAAGTAGCCTACAGCAAGCAGTTCTAAGGGTGGTTCCCAAAGGTCCTCGAGACCCTTCCAAGGAGCCTAAGAGGTAAAAACTATTTTCACAATAACACCAAGATGTTACCTGCCTTTTTCACTGGTTGACCTTCAAATTAATGGTGCAAAAGCAATGGTGAGTGAAACTGCTGGAGTCTTTGTTCACTGAACAGTGTGGAACCACACTGTACCAGGGGTCACTTAATTTTCACTGTCATACCCTTGCAGGAAAGAACATGCAGTCTCACAGATGTTCTTAATAGAGCAGAAAAATTTGCCCCGGCTGGTGTGGCTCAGTGGATTGAGTGCCTGCCTGCAAACCAAAGGGTTGCTGGTTCGACTCCCAGTCAGGGCACATGCCTGGGTTGTGGGCCAGGTCCCCAGTATGGGGTGTGTGAGAGGCAACCACACATTGATGGTTCTCTCCCTGTCTTTCTCCCTCCCTTCTCCTCTCTCTAAATATAAATAAAAGTTAAAAATAGAGCAGAAAAATTATACATGATTACATCTTGACTCTCATGTCTCTTTCATATGCTAGGAAACAAAGCACAGAGCACCCAGAAAGTGCTTCCCCTGACTGCAGCCTGAGATGGTTGCCTCAGAGTATGTGGCCATTGTGTGGTGACCTGAACTCGCTGGATTTCCCCCCCCCTAGAACTCCACTTTTACCTGAAATAAAGACTGGCAGATAAATGAGTTATTCAAACGTGTATTTAGGAGATATTTTCTTGAAAACAAACGAAGTTGAGCCTGACATTTCAAGAAAAGCAACTGATGGATAGTGTTTGTCACCAATGATAACATTGGAGCTTTCTAGCAAAGATTATAATTTTGGAAAACCTGAATCCACAGGTTCTCAATACTTAAAGTCTGTGTGATGAGATTGGCAGTGACATTAGAAAGCAAAAGAATGTGATTTTTAAAAATATCGTAACATAAAGTACATGAGCATTTGGAGTATCTGAACACTTGAGTGGGTCAATATTTTCCAAGAGACCTGTGCATGATATTGCAGAATCTCACATGGTAAAAGAACCATTAAAAATGCCAGAAGAGGTTTATTGATATTATTGCCTACTTTACATTGCAGCTAACATTTGAGAAGCCACCACTTGGTGAGTTTTGATGTGGTAAAAAGAAGGATAAGCCCACTTATCTGAGAAAGGAAAAAATTCTCCTCCTCTTATCAACTGTGTTGCCATGTGAGGCTAGATTTCCTTGATGGTACTTCAACCAAAACATCCCATCACAACAGGTTGAGTGCAGAAGCAGATACACAGAGAGACCAGCTGTCTTTCATGAAACAAGACACATAGGGCTTCTGTGTCCCACTTTTTCTTTGGGTTTGCAAATGTACATTTTTAAATAAAAATATTGTATTTAGGTTAACATGTAATGGGTTTACCATTGATGTTTAAATGAATTCTAAATATATTACATTTGCAGTTTCGATTTCCAATACAACAAATATTGATAGCATCTATAGACAGTATCTATTAAAGCCCAGGGGAGAGCAGGTGATGGATGGAGAAAATCAGTGCTTCCAAATTTGTACTCACGATCCAACACAAGCTCAGAGGCATTTTGCATTTTGTAGTGTCTAAAACGATTGTTTGATTTTGGATGAGTTTCCCCTATTTACAAATTGGTGGGATTTATGTGGAACATTGGGTAACCCAATTCTCTTGAAAAACTGGGTGACCTGGCTGCGTTGGGTCCACAGTGGTGCACGGTCCAGCTGGGCTGCCCCCTTTTGGACACACCCTTTCCAGCTTCCCTCCGTCCCCACCACACTCCGTGTCCCTTCGTTTGAACCTGTTTCTTCCCGGTTGATCCCATGGCTTGCTCAGCTCCTGGGAGCATGTGCATCTGGAATGTCCCATCTACATGGCCTCCTTGGTGGCAAGAAGTTGGGAAGACCTACTTGTTTCCTGAGACTCTTCCACTGCTCCCAGGGGGTGTTGCACATCACAAGACGCCGAGAACTCACAACAAAAAGCTGAGATCACGAGATGAGGACACATTCCTGAAATGGGGCAAAGATCATGTTTTAAGGCACATTCTCTCATCTCTCCTAAGACTCTGCTGCTTGCTATGACAGTGGCTGGGGACTGTGCCAGGAAGGTGGCTGCAGTGGGGATTGTTCAAAATGAGTTTGGGTTCAGGAGCCAGTGTCTGTGTTCAAAACTTGTCAGTGCCTTGTGATAGCGGTGTGACCTTAGGCTAATTACCTAAGCTCTCTGTGTCTTAGTTTCCTTATGTGCAAAATGAGATTAACACTACTACTTACCTTTTAGGGCTGTTGGGAGAATTAAATGAGATAATATGTGGCAAGCACTCAGAACAGTGGCTGGCATACAGTACACCTCCATGATTGTAGCCATTATTAATTTTTGCTGTTGTTCTTTTGAGCTGGGAAGCCCTGGTCTGGTGGCTCCATTGGCTGGAGCATCACCCTGTACACCAAAGGGCTGTGGGTTCGATCCCCCATCAGGACACATGTCTGGGTTGCAGGTTTGATCCCTGGTTGGCAACCGATCAACGTCTCCCTCTCTTTTTTTCTCTCTGTCTCTCCCCCTTCCACTCTCTCTAAAATCAATAAATGCTATATCCTGGGGTGAGGACCAGAAAGAAAGAAAAAAGAAAAGGGAAGTAAAGTGTCATTAAGGTTCTGCTAGGCAAACTGAACGCGGTCTTTATCACTCCCTCTCACAGAGCCCAGAAGTCCAGACATAAAATGTAATAGATCTCAAGAGATATTTGAGAGTGACATGGGGCATCATTTTGATTGCCAGCCACAGCCACTTAATCTACCTGTTAAAACTGTGATGGGTTTGAGATCACTCATGAGGCGCATTAACAATTTTATTCATTCATTCATCCATATATTCCTTTGATTAGTCACATCTTTCTTCATTAAATATCTATTGAGTTCTTACTGTGTTCCAGGCACACAGACAATGAAACTCATGTCCTGGTTCAGGGGTAGAAACAACCACCAGCTACTTCTGTAGGACAGAATCTAGATTTTTTAACTCCTTGTTTGTTAAAAACAATGAACCATGTTTCTATGAGACTATGAAAGAACCTGTCCTACTCTGAGGCCGTGCCACCTACATGAAAGAAATCACTGCTAGAAAATTGCCTTGAAAAGAGAAACAAGACCATAACACTTAGAAAAAATTCTGTAAGTACCCAATTTATTCATAAAACAATACAGTTTAAATATTTATGATTTTTTCCAGTCATACATTTTTACCATCATTCCCAAAATGTTGTGCTGACATGTATTTGCAAGGTTAGAATCTATAATTATAACACTGGAAATTATACAAGGCCTATTTGATTTGCATGTTAATATGTTTCCCCTCAACAAACAAACAACAAACAGATCTATTTTGCCTTGTGATTTACTTCCCCATCTCTATGACTATCTTATGATTTTTATGCTGCAAAACACTCATCCATTTCTGTGTGAGAAGATTATACATGTGAAACATTCATTCTTCTGGTTGAAGACTGGCCAGTGTATATTGAAACAAAACACCTTCACCTAAAACAATGATTCCAGGCATTTCTGCTGATAGAGTTGGCTCTCGGGAGTGATAACAAGAGACAGAAAGAAGCCCCACACAAAGCTTAAAAATCACCTTAGTGGACCACATTTCTGGGGAGCCACACTGCATGGCCAAGTCTCCACTATTGTGGTTCAACTGGAGACTTTCTGAGGTCATTCCTAGGGGTTGATGCAAACATGGAATCATTCATGCAAGGTGGGTGATGCCTCCTTTAAGAGGGCGGGCCCAGCCAGGAGAAGCACTCCCTCGTCTGTTTAAGGAAGAGGTGTGACTATAAAGCAGTGAGACTGATTTGGGGTGTGCAGCTTCTGGAATCAGTCTCGCTGCTTTCTACTCCCACCTCAGAGACAGGCAGGACCTGTGTGCTGTTGGTGGGGAGGAGGTGGCATTCCCAAGCAGATGAGGTTCTGCCCTGTTTTGGATGGTCTCCACAGCACACCCTGAAGTCTAGAACCTCAGTACTCTCCGTGCAGTCTGAGAACTGTGCTGGCATCACCTGGGACCCTGTTGGAGCTGCAGAATCTTGGGCAGACCTAGGGCATCACAGCCTGAATTTTGACAAGATCCTCAGGTGATCTGTGTGCATGGTAAAGTCCGAGGGGTGCTAGGCGAGGAGCCCCAGACCCACGTCAAGAAGATGGCTAGGTGGCTAGCCCTCTTCTTCAATGGAGAGACCATTCTCAGCAGGGATGAGTTATAGATAACAACTGCAAAAACTGGGTGTTTCTTTTATTATTTTAAACATGCAAAATACAGTCCATGCAGCTGCCATTTTGAAAAGTCTCTCATCCTGAAGCAGATAAAACCAAGTATGTTTTGGCTATCGACGTTCGGTAAATGTTTCAAAATGCTTTACAGTGTAAAGATAAGAAATTTAGCAAAATTTCAACAAACCTGTATAAAAAAACTGATACAGATACCATTTGATTTCAAGGCGACATGCTGTAATGTAAAGAGTAAGTTACAATGATTTGTGTTTCTTTGTAAAAAGTCTTTCACAGTACAAGGGCTTACCAGCTCCAGGCCTCAGGGCTACACATGCAAACAAACAAACAAACAAACAAAAAAACAGTCAGTTAGTTAAAAATCAACAAAACGTGCTATTTTTAAATGTGTACGTTTTTGTTTTGTTTTGTTTAGTTTAGGTACAGGAGTAGTAGAAGTATTAAATAGTAGCGGGAATAGTATTTCAGAACGCTGTAAAAGTGTGCGGAGTTCATGGTGCTAGTGTCCTGGAAGACTCATACACTTCTGATGAACATTTTGGCTTAATCCCTTTGCCATTGTAATAGTCCACGACTTGGTTTGGGACTTCAGCCAACACGCTCTTTGCCAGGGCAGCTGGAGACGCCTGCAGGGGAGAGGAAAGCACCGTGACTTTGGCCCCCGGCCAAGGGAATCTGGTTGAGAATCAGCCTAGAAGGCTTGAGTCCTGTTCTGAGCAGCTAGTCTCTCTCTCTCTTATTCATTCATTCATTCACTATTCGTCAAGGGCCTCCAAGCAAGAGTTTCCAGGTTGTTCGAAAGTGCACTATTTATTTCCTAATTATATTTTTACACGCCTGGCTCAACATAGAAAACTATTCACATCTGAAATATGGGTGAAAGTTGGATAGCAGAATGAATTGTCTCACAGTTCTGTTTCTGATTTATATTTAATTCTAGATACTTATTCATGTTCCAGGCACCATGGTAGAGATTAGGGGGTCTATGATTCTTGCTATTAGGGAAGTTAAAGTCATGTGAGAGGAGCCTGGTGTGGCCAAAATTAACCCTAGCATGAGGTAAGACGCAACACAGGCTACAAACGAACAGCATCACATCCAATGGGAGCTTATCAGAAATGTAAAATCCTAGACCTGCCCCAGCTACTGAATCAGAATCTGCATTTTAGCTCGATGCCCACATGATTCCTGTGCATTTGAAATCTGAGAAGTACTGCTCCAAAGTCACCAATGCTGTGTGACCAGAGCACAGGAAACAAAGAGGCTGAGTCATCTTGGTAGAAATCAGAGCAGGCTTCCGAGAGAAGGTGGCACTGGAGTGGGGCATGTTTTAAAATGTAGAGAAGGAGAGGACTGGTATTTGATCATTTTTGGGATGGTAAGTCATCACATGGGGTTGAAGTGAGTGTGTGTGCGTGCGTGTTGCAAGTGCAGGGTGGGCGGGACATTCATGGGAAACATGGAATGCCCCGCCTTGAGGTGGGGGTGGGGTGGGATGAAGCGTATTGAATACCACCACGCTAACTAATGCAGCTATTATCCCATCAGCACCGCAGCTCCACTGCACAATTTGAGGCATTAAGGTGGAGGTTGATATTCTGCACAGACTCTAATGTTCAGTACTAACTCCTCAACCCCTGGACAAGCAGAATTCCCCAAACCTCATTATAAGCACTGAATAGATTGAAAATTTAAAGCAGAGTGACACGTTAACAGGTAATTGAGATTCCTCAGGAAAGACCCCGAAGGAAAGGGAGTGAATGAAACGCCAGGTGGCCTGGTTTCTAGCTCTTTCCTTCCTATGCGGCTTGTCACTCAACCATTCAGCTTTGCCAGACAAAACAGGGAAGAATAAGAATTCATTAACTTTCAGAGTTTTTAGGAGGCTCAAAAGAAGAGACTATTCTTAACGACAATCTGAAAACATGGTGGGGAGTTGTTCTAAAATGATTCTTCACATTTTGGAGATGCTATAGCATGTTGGACACTTGACATCCATGAACGCTCTTATTTTATAAATAGATGCTCAGGGCTGTGTTTTAGATCATGGTCCATGTGTACACTGGGGAATATAACAAGTCATTCCCACCCTCTCTCTCTGGCCACCTCTCATGTAAAGATTACACAGCCGGATGTGCGATTCCCTAGACTCCCTTCCTTCTGGGTAGGTCCCTGTGACTCAACTTCATCTTTGAGATATAAATGAAAGTTTCCTGGGGGCTATTTCTTGGAAAGCTTTTCTTTCTTGGTTAAAGAGGACAGACATGGTTTTCTGTTTCCCTTTCTTCTTCTTCTTCTTTTCCTTGAACTGGAATATGATTCCTAGAGCTATGGCAACCATTTTATCATGATGAAGCAAGAGCAAAAAGAATCACCAAGTGCTGGCCCTGCTGCTGTTGAATCATTGAAACAACAACAACAAAAACAGATGTCAGCAGCCTCCAGCCCCTCCATCCTGCCTATGTGAGAAAAATACTTCTGCACTTACATGGTCCAGGGTTTCGCACTATTGCTATTTTGAGCCAGGTAACTGTTCGCGTGGGTTACTGTTCTGTGCACTGTAGGATGTTCATCAACATCCTGGCATCTTCCCACTGCCTGTGAATTAGGCCTCCACCACTGTCCCCATCAAAAATGTCTCCAGACATTGCCAAATGTGCCCTGGAGAACAAAGTCATGCTTGGTGAAGAACCATTCATGTCATCCACTATAAGATGGATTTGCTGTTGTTGGGAGACAAAAACTTTCCTAAACAGAACTGTCAAACAGAACTCGCTGCAATGATGAACGTGTTCTCTCTCTCTGCTGTCCAGTATGGTGGTCACTAGACACATACAATCGATGAACCCCTGAAATGTGACTAGTGCAACTGTAAATCTTTTATTTTAATAAATTTAAATTTAAATAGCCACATTTGGCTATTTGCTACTGCATTGCACAGCACAATTCCTAAGAGATTCTCCCATTTTCTTACATGTGTTGGTGATTCTGGTGAGCAAATAGGGATGGGGGGAATAAGTTGGTTAGGAAAAGGCCAAAAATGTGAAAGCAGATGGGAGTAACAGCTGTGTTTATTAATCAGCTACACGGATCAGGCACTGTCCTGGGCTTATGTAGATACCACCTTTGCTCTTCCAATGTGTGTGCCGTGCACGTTTTACAGATGAGAGTCTGTGGTACAGAGGGGTTAAATAACTTGCCCAGAATCACAGTGCTGGGAGCCCGGGTCCTGCCCACTTCAAAGCTCTGAGTTACCATGCAAAGCAGAAAATGAGAGATGACTCATGGGTTACGGGCTTATATGAGATGTATCAGGCCCGCACATTTCATTTTATTTATGGCTTATTGAATTCAGTGTAGTCTGGATAATGAAATGGTTTTTCAAATCTAATTTGAAATCCACAAAGATAAGACAGGCTCTGCTCCTGGGGTTCCAAGGTAGTCGTCCGTGGAGTGGCTGCAGACTGTGCAGCACCGATGGTGAGTGGTGGCATGCTTCCTTGCCCTGATCAGGTCACTTCCCTGGTTGTCAATGCCTCCCCCACCAGCTCCCCGCTTTCCAAGGCTCTGACCTTCCTTATATTCCCAGCTGAAGCTGTAAGGCTTTCCTCTCTGTTCCGAAGTCCTGCAGCAACATTTTAGCCCTTTCCAACCACCCGCAGGTTGCACAGCAAGGGATTTTTCTGCAGACACCAACCATGCAGCTCCCCAGTGAATGCCGCAGGCCCGGGCCCATGGCTCTACCACCTGGCTGTGGTCCCCATGCTACCGCATGCTGTGCACACCTTCCAAAAGAGAAGGAGTCTGGGGTAGAGGCCGGAGCCTCGCATGGGTCAGCTGCATCGTTTCAGCACACAGATGTGCTGTATGTGCAGGGGTCAGGGAGAGGGTAGTTTGAGAAAATGCATCGCTCTCCCAGGGAGTCAGTTCTCTGACCTTTTGTTCAGTCAAAATTATAGGCGGTAGTCAGTGAGACGGCTGCTTCTCTCTGGCTGACAAAATGAAGCAGGACATCACAACCCCGAAGAAAACCCCTCTGCCCACTTGCCATCAGACAGGTAAGTAGCTTCGCTGATGAACGTGACTGTAGTATATTCAGCTTGCCCCAGCGCATCCTTCCTTGAAGAGGACACCACTCCTTGCTGTGCACGTGCAACCTGAGGGCATGGTGAGGCTCTTTCGCCTAATGAGTGGTTTCCTTTGGAAACCTCCTCTTTGGCTGGTGGAAGATGGGCTACAGTGGAAAAGCCACCCCTCAGCCACGTTCATTGCCTGGGAGCCTATAGGGGTCTCGGGTACTGCTGGTGTTACTTGGAACTCCCCCTGCACTGAACTCTGTAGTCAAGGATTGACTTTATGCTCCTTTAGTGATTCTAATTACACCGTAGCCCTCCGTAAGAGGTCACTGTGTTTCTGAGCGACACGCCTCATTATTCAAGGGTCCCTGGAACACACAGTGACCTCCCTGCATGGTTCCGGCAGCTCATGAGATCTAGGCTTCATGGAGGCCACTGGGCTTGTGATTCACCTGAACACTGGCTTTAATGACTGTCCCAACAAGGCAGTGGAACAAATGGCAGTTTGTACAAAGCACAGACCGAAGGCCCTGATGCCGGCACCAGGACTTGTCTACATCAATGACGGTCAACCCAGCCTTTCAACCTCTGTTTACCTTACCTAGTGTGGTGGGCTCCCAGCGTGGGTGCAAAGAGGGCTGTACATGAGCCTGGACAGATCCGATAAACTGGCTAGGGTGCTGTCAAGGACTTGTGTGAATGAGGGGTTTGGGCCAGAGTAGAAAGGCTTTTCCAAAAAAGCATCAGGCAGGATGCTTGTTGCGGATGGCATAGTGCCTGCCCCTCCCTCTCCGGACCCTAAATAGCTGAGCTCCGCCCTGAGGATGAAGGGGCTGCAGTGGCAGCTAAAGAGGATGTTTCTGGCAGGGTTCCTGAAATGTGGGGATACAGACTTCACTGCATGAATGGTCCCAATGACCGAGGGGTCACTGCAACAGGGATAGCAGGGCATTCTCATCATTTCTAAGGAGACAGCAGAGTTGCTTCAGGGCACTGAGCACCCCGAAGATTCCCTCCTACAGGGACAGCTCAAGTTCAGTCCCCACCCACCGGGAGCATGTTGCTGGCCTCACCAGCAGTGGATAGGTCAAAGCCTCAGGAGACACCAGGGGCGGGGGAGAGGGAAGTGACTTTCACTAGGGGCAAAGGACAAAAGGTCACAGAGGACTGTGTGCCAGCCCACATCACCCTCAAGGACTCCCATATACAGCTGGGGAGCCCCCGAGGGGGACTTTGTAGGAATCAGGAGTGTGTTTCTGGGCAGCTGCAACTTCGCAGGTGCAGGGCGGTGTTGAAATGTTAGAGGTGCCCCTTCTTCCATGGAGTTAATAAGTATCCAAACATTGGAAATGAAAAAAAAAATTGTCTTTGAGCACTTCTTGATGTTCTACTGGAGCACTAGCGGGTGTGCTTTCAGGATGTCGGGAGGGTGCAATACTTATATTTAGTATGGATTAGAGAGGCTGTAAAGCTAGATGTTAACTTATAAAACAAATTTCAGTCTAGCAGAGGAGGTAATCCAAAGTCTACTTATTTATTTCTAGCCCCTTTGGTCATTGCCTAGTGTTGAACCTGCTGAGCAAACTCACTCCAGCCTTGTCCCCTCTGACAATAATCAACTGTTTAATGTCCTCCTCTGAACCACCTTTTGTCATCCCACTGGTCCCCTCAGTGACTTAAATACATCTCTGATGGTCCTTACTGTGTTTCTAGAAGACTGAGGTTTCCATCATTTTGAAAACGCACTTTGCCAGGGCCCACACAGGCCGGGGCCCGGGGCAGGACAAGCAGAAGCCAGGCAGAACAATCTGCTCACCGGTACATGGCAGCCCCAAGGGCACTGAGATCCTACACTACAGGGATGGGAACAAGTGCCAGTGACATACTGGCTACCATAGTCGGCATGACTTCTCATCTATACTTCAACTTACACTTTTATCTCCAAAGAGCCACGCTCTCCACATCCCGTGTGGGGGATGGCCTGGACTGGGCAGGGACAGCTGGCTTTGCTTCACTACAAACCAGGGGACACAGGTAGGGAGTGAAGTTTTGTTTTGGTTCTGCCCTCCCATCAAAAGCCCCTGAGATAGGCGTACGTGTTTGAAGTTTCTGAAGGGCACGAACTGAACGATGTCTCGAAGGACTGGCTCTCCCTTGGGTGATCGCAGAATCCCGTCGTCACCGTCCAGCATCTGCATGTCACTGAAGTCAGCGTTGCCCACGCCCACGATGATGACCGACATGGGGAGGTGGGAGGCATGGACAATGGCCTCCCGGGTGTCGGCCATGTCTGTGATGACACCGTCGGTCAGGATGAGCAGGATGAAGTATTGCTGCAATGGATCAGACACAGAGCAATGATGGGGATTAGCAGAGGGGTGGGAATGGGCGGAGGAAACAAGGACAATACAAGTTACACACCCAGGTGGCTTCAGTGCACACTGACTACAGCAGTAGTGACAACAGACTTTTTCTGAGTGCCTGTGTGGACGGCCCTGAAGACCGAAGGTTATGATGAATGGGACTTGAAGGCAGGCAGAGTAATCGTAGGTTAATTCTAACAACCACCTTGGTGAACGTTATCAAGCGCAGTGTGGTTGACAGAGCAGCAGCGAGGGCTCAGGTCTGGCTCTAAAGCCTCGTTTCCTGAGGTTCTGGGAAAACCCTTATCTCCTCTGGGTCTCAGCTTCATGTCTCAAGTGAGGGGTGGAAGTCGATCATTTGTACGTATGGCCCTTTCAGCTTGAGGATTTTAAGAATCTAAAGCAGCAACTGCCCAACACAAAGCCACTAGCTCCATGGGACTGCTGAGCCCTTCCTGGAAATGCGGCTGGCACAATGGAATCAAATTTTTAATTTTATTTCCTTTTAATAAATTTAAACTTTACTTTAAAAATGGATACCAGATTCAGTTATTGGAAACCTTTTACATATGTTTGAAACAACTCAAGTATGTAAATCTACTTTCTCACTATCAATTTACACAGTCTAAATAAAGATCAAGTATTTGTGATGATAATTTAGCATGCAAATTAACATGATATATGTGTAAAATGCACACTGGGTTTTGAAGACTTAGTATAAAAAAGTGTAAAATATATTATAGTTTTTATATGGAGCACATGCTAAAATGAGATTATTTTATGCATTTAAAAATACTTCTGATGTATAAAGTACACATGGACAAAGACAAAGGGGGGTAGGATCAAGGGTGGGAGGGAGGGAGAGGGAAATAGAGACAACTGTACTTGAAAAACGATAATAAATAAATAAGTCATGCCAGGAAAAAAAAATACTTCTGAACCCTGGCTGGTATAGCTCAGTGGATTGAGCATGGGCCTGTGAACCACAGGATCATAGTTCGATTTTTAGTCAGGGCACATGCCCGGGTTGCAGGCCAGTTCCCAGTAGGCAACCATACATTGATATTTCCCTCCCTCTATCCTTCCCTTCCCCTCTAAAGATAAATAAATAAAATATTTTAAAAAAAGAAAAAAAAAACTTCTGAGAAGGGGTCTGTGGACTTCATCAGCTGCTAAAGGAGCCTACGGGACAAAAAAGGTTGAGAATCCCTAGTCTGAAGAGACTGTCAGGTTTCTAGAATCTGATCCGGGGTTAAGAGGTACGAGGCTGCAGCCTGCCAGAACAAAACCCTGATGGACATTCCCAGTGAAGCTACAGTAAGAGTTGCTTCCAAAGCCAGGTTAGGAAAATGCTCACGATGAAATATTATAGTCTTTGAATGTACACAAGTCCCTGTTCAGATACAGAGGAGGCTTTTTTTTTCCTAGAAGAATTCTACAGATTTGAGGAGAAAATCCTACAGCTAGCCTCCCTGGATCAGTTTGTGTAAGAGGTTCAAACTTAAGACCCTTAGCAATGAGTGATAACAGGGGGCCCTGGACCACACACTGTTCAAAGCACAGGAGAAACCTTTGGGGAAAAGAATCCTTGTTCCCGGATTAGAAGAATGTTTACTTGAGATATGTGGGTTAGACACTTCCTGCACTATTTCCTGATCGGTCCTTCCAGATCTGACCGCCTGTCCCTGTGTGAGCGAGTGAGGCCTAAATCCACACCTATGTTAGCCCTGTTCTCTTCTTATGCTTTTAGTTCCTGGTTCCCCAGAGAGCTGAGATGATTTTTGTTTTCTATCTGGGCTCCGAGGAGTCCTGGGGACACTGAATACTTTTGGGAATAAAGCGGGTAATAAAGGATCATAGACAAGTTTGGGCCCCACCTCTTAGCTCAGATTCAGCAAGACTGGTCTGTTTCCTTACAATCGACTTTCTATTTTGGGTTTCTGAGTAACATGTCATTTGAAGAATTTGAATTTGAAGTTCTGATGATAAAAAAAATTGTTTGAAATAAAACGAAATAACAAAATAATGAGCCTGTCCAACACATATCCCCAGATCTCGCATCTGTGAGGAATCAGATTTGCTCCCAGGCCCCCATGGGTTTGGCAAGGTGGATGTACTACTGATCTTGACAAGTGCAGTTCTCAGAGGGATGTCGGGAGGAAAGTCTGACTGGCACAGGTGGAGGAGCCCATGGGGGGAGACATGCTGATGGTGAATACAGGAAAGTTTTTAAATGAATTTTGCTCCGAAGGGAGGTAAACGAACGTATGTAGCTCTATATGGTAAAGAGATGTTAAGGGAAAGATTTTTAACTTAAACAGGAGATATTATAGGATTTAAAAAAAACCCCTCATCTGTGGACATGCTTATTGATTTTGGAGAGATGGGAAGGAATGGAGGGAGAGAAACATTGATGTAAGAGAAAAACATCAATTGGTTGCCCCTCCTACACACCCTGACTGGGGACTGAACCTGCAACCCAGGCATGTGCCCTGACTGGGAATCGAACCAGAAACCTTTTGGTTAATGGGACGATGCTCCAGCCAGCTGAGCCACACTGGCCAGGGAAATTATAGGATGTTCTATTTGCTAGTAAAAATGAGTCTTCAGTAAGAAGGGGAAAAATAGGTGAGAGAGAGGGAATACAGCTGCTGGGTCAGTGTCCTTGGATAACTGAGAGGAGAGGTACCCCTGAACAGAAGAGGCTGGGATTCCAGATAAGCAGGGTCTGCCGCCCGTCTGCCCTGAGGGGAGTCTGAGAACACGGTGCAGTGCCAGCAGGTGAGATGAGCTGATGGAAGGAGGTGCTGCAAAGGCAGGGTCTTGGAACCCAGGAAAAACTCAGAGAGAATGTTCCAGACATCGGTAATGTGAGACTAAACCTGAAAAAAGCCCCATTGCTGAAAAATGACATATATGGATGGCATTAAAAATGATACATAGGAAAGTTATTCTGGTAATAGGGGCAGGCATAGTAGGTTTACAGCTGTGAGTACATGAAACAGTTTGTTCTTTTTTATTATTAATTAACTATTGTATGGTTTATTTGTATGACAACTGTAAACCTATGTTTGCTCACTTTGTGTTTAACTCCAAAATATTCGGGGAAAAAACCAAATTTTGCTGGGCCTTATAGCCTTGGTTTGCAGTTTTCTTAAGAAAACCACAAACAGAATGTAAAACAAATCTTTGCTACGGTGTTCTGTGCCGCTGCACCTGACCACCAGGGGATGGAGATATCTACAGTTCTGCTTCACTTCCATCCATAACATGGGTACATGGGAAAGCAAGTTTACTTTGGACAGTTTTCCCTTCTTCCCAGGAACACCACATGGGTGTGACTCACACTCCAGTGAATAAAGTACATTCCATTGTTGAGTGTCCCCTCTGTCCAGCTAAAGTTGTGGGCACTGGAGATGTGTCATCTCTAAGCCTCACAATAACCCGGCAGAGAGGGGTGCGATTATCCCCCATTTTCGGATGAGGAGCCTGAGGACAGGAGAAGGCTAAGTCACTTGTCCAAAGTCACACAGGCAGAAATGCTATAATTTATTGTCAGAATGGGGGTGTGCTATGGCCAATATCCCGGTGAGAAAGGGCCATCCCCCACCAGCAGGCAAACTGCCCCTCCTTACCGACGCCTCCTTGGTGTTCGTCTCCTCTGAGGCCGACTTGGCGACCTTCTGAATGATGGGGGCGATGTTGGTGGGGCCGTAGAGCTGGAGCTTGGGAAGGCAGCTCTGATAGGCTTCCACGACCCCTTGAATCCCTAAGGTGAAATTGACCTTAGTCAATAGTCTAGTCAGTGATCAATAGTCCAGTTGTCCCCTCGAATACATTTGTAATCAAACACACACACACACAAAGCATTCAATTCCCCCGAACGTCCTTCCTAACATCACATGTATGATCTTAAGACAAAAAAAATGCCATCCTGTTGCCTCTACCCCCCCACTGGAATCATTCTCTGTAACAGCTTAAATCAAAAGCAATCATCTTCACAAACTTTTCCCCAATATGCCATTTTACACATAAAAGTTCATTAGATTCTCATAACGCAATGAAAAAGATATTATACCCATTTTACAGGTGGAGAGACTGAGGCTTAGAGAGGTTACATGATCTGCCCCGGTCACTCAGCAAGCTCAGGACTGAAACCCAGGTCTGTCTGGCTCTACGGGCTGTGCTCTCAGCCTGTAGGCAGTCAGCTCTACCGCTTCTCTAGTTTCCACGCCACCTTGTTGATGCTACTGTAGTACACACCACCACCCTAGTCCGCTTAGAGGAGTTATCTGCACGTGTACATGAGCATCGCTCCAGACATTAAAGTCCTTGTGGGCAGGAGTTGTGACCTACTCCCTCAAAGGTCTCGAGGCAGGTCAGGCATACCACATGTCTGACGAAGGAGCAAAATGGTGACACAACTGTCTGCTGAGGACCTTAGTACAGTCAAGTGACATTCATCATCATGGTCAACCTCACACTACAGGAGGTTTCCGTCCTGGGGCCACATGAGCCAAGGAAACATTAAAGGTGGGACTCTGCTGGAAGGAACAGCTCTGACTGTGCAGCTTCTCCTAGCACTGTATGAGCCTTGACTGCACATTTAATGTCATGCTCACAATCCCACAAGAATCCCATTGCTAATGAATGTTATTCCATTGGCTCCTCTTGGTGCCTGTGCCTGTGTTAGCTCTTGCCTTTCCCTGTTTAACTCACCCTTTTTATCCCTTTCTATCCTGAAATAGTGCACTGGTCCTGAAATGGTTCTCCACATCCACCATGCCTTGCACACCGGATCTTGGGTATTTTGGATAAGCAAGTTCTGTGTGTTCTGCCCTTATACACATGCTTCCCTACTGATGCTGCATCCTCTTTGCCCAGCCCCAAAGCCTGCTATCCTAAAGACAGATGTCATGTCATTTTGTAGCTTGCTTCTGAAATTAAGTAACACTCAACAGAGGCTATTTTCCTATTTTGGCTCTTGAGTTTTGACTAAGTTTTTACCTAAGATAAGCAAGTTGGATTTCTCTCTCAAAAGTAACAGGCAGATGAATTCTAAGAGTGTGAAGCAGGTGAACCCGTGGCTTGTATTTTGTTTTGCTCTGGTGGAAACCTATTCTTATAGTTTAAGAATAGGGGTGGTGAGGGACGAGTGAACTCTAAATCATGATAAATTTAGGGTAGGGGGATCATGAGAGAGAATAAAGGCAGAGCGGAGAGCAGGTCTCAGAGGTTACCATGTGCACAGCCAACGCTACTGATGTCACGTTCTTGGACGTTAAGTGCTGACTTGGTGAAAGAAACTTCTAGATGCTCTACATACGGCACTGGATCCGAATTAACCCTGGATCAGCTCCCTTCCTCCCGGACAAGGAGGAGAGAGATTTGGAAATTTCTACCTATTTCACTATAAAAACCATCTTACAAGCTTCTTAGCAACAGGTGTACTTGGCTCTATTTGTCAGCAGGAAGAATAATTCCAGGATAAAATTTATCGTCATAGATGTCATCATCATTGTTCTGTGGAACTGTGTTGGGGAACTTCTGCCTGGAAATAAGGGAATGGGGACCCAAGTCTGTGAGAAGGCTTTCTCTAGCACAAACCATGTAGCTACTCATTGGAAGTCACTGAGGCTGTATATCCTTTGCCAACATCCCGTAAGTGTCAAATGATGTCCATGTCCTCCCCACCCACACCTCTACCTTGTACCTTCACAGGGAGGAAGTTGTGAAAAAATAAATACCTGAGGAAGATGTGGAGAGCAGAAAGAGGGATCATCACTGCCTATCAGGTGAATTCTCCACCCCTCCCATTTTTTGGCCAGAGGAATCCAGAATTGGAATCAACTCAAGATGTCTTCTGCATGCTGCCTTTTTCACCTCTTAATTTTCTGCTCTGTCATTATGGCTCTCTGTTGCCTTTGGAATAGTATGGTCTATTTGGGTCCAGAAAATCTACTTTTCTGCTGTGGACAATCTTAGCTGATATACCCTGTCAGAGGGGAGAAACTAAAATGGGAAATGTACAAGCAAAAGGGCTGAGAGACACTGGCTTTCTTTTATGTTGTAATTTACCTGCACACTCCGGGTTGTCTTCATTAAAGTTGATTGCGAAGTCATGAGAGACCTAGACACCAATTAAAATTGTAAAAAGGGAGACAGGAGAATTACAACTTTAATCCAGTAAGGAGGCAGAGGGTTGAAGAGTTTGCAAACAAATGCCCATTACATCCATTATGTGTTAAGCAGCAGGAATCACTTGAAGACTTCACACAGTCAGTCTGAGATGGAGGGTGAATTCTATGCTCCCTGTGGAGTTGAGGTGACAGGGAGCATAGTATTTATCTAGAATCAGATAAATGCTGGCAGAGGGGGGAGAATACTGCATATAAAAAAAGCCAAGATAAGATCTCAGAAAAATGTAACCCCAGAAAGAACTGGCCACAGGCTGGAGGCTTAGATTTGGCTGAGCTCTACTTGGATGCGGTGATTAAAAAAGGGTGAGTCAGCACCATGTCTGTTCAACACAGTGACGGCTATAACGGCTCCCACTCCTGCTGACATTTAAGATTAATGCGATAGGACAGCGGGATTTTCACGTATATACAAGTAAAATAGACTCTACTTTTGGAGAAGTGATAATACATCTTGTAATATTCCAACACACATTCCTCTACCTGGCAGGACCCATCACAAGGTCAAAGGACATATTTACTTCTTTCTTTATAAAATCCGATAAAACAGGAGGGATGTCTTGGCACCTGGATGTAATTGGATCATTTGAGGTTTTACAGAGACTTCCATTCATTTCAAAGGTTACTTCCAAGCTGTGCATTTGGGGGTTAGAAAATAGTCCCTGTGTTAAAACACCTCTCTTCTCTTCATGGGGGGTCAGAGCGGATGCATGGCCCACCTTTGCTGTCCTTAGCTCTTCCAGGCAAGTCGGCTAACTTCCAACAACCTTACCTGCTTTGGTTACCTTCAGTTTTTCCTGGGTCTCCAGAGCCTGCTTTTGCTTGCCCCAGTGACAGGTTGAAAGTGTTGGGGAATTAATGGCTCTTGGGAGCAGCCCTTCCTCAGTGGCTGATAGGAGATGGTATATTGGTACCCAGCCCTCTTTCCCCTGGGCTCTGTGTGTGCTCCACTCTGTCTTCTTGGACTGCCCACAATGGCAAATGACTTGTCAGGATGCCCTATGTCGACTTCCACTCACTCCCCCACTTTCTGTTGACGTTTCCTCCACCACTCAGATCAACTACTCACATCCAGATCCTGTCTCAAGGTCTGTGGGAGAGTGTAAACTAAGACAGAGGTGCCTGTGGCTCAAATTCAAGGCAAAGTCTGAGGTTTTATCCAAAAGAACTAAATTGCGGTGACCTCGTAAACTTTGCTGGGGGTACCTGACCTGCTGAACCCATGAGAGCCTGTCTGGGACAGAGGGAAAATGAGGCCTGAAATGGGGGACATTTGTGGGAGCAGAGTGAGGAGATGTGAGGGGGCGTGTCAGAGCAGCAGGAAGAGGCTGGCTGACAGGCAGGATGGAGCCAGGGTGTCCGGGGAGCATGAGGACTTCAGAAAACAGCCAGAAGGGTAAGTTACACCAGTAGGGGAACCAGGCAGTGCCATGGATGAGAAAAGGAAGGCCTGGGACGAGGTGTTCTCAGCCCCGCTGGGCCAAGCTGAGACCGGAGGACTACCTGGCAGGATGTGGTGGGGATGCTCAAGCATCTCTGGGTGGTGGGACTGGTGGTTGTTGAGGTGCATTCCAGTCTCGAAGGTCAAAGTTCTGTGCAGAAGGTGGGCGCCTACCTGAGCATGTTCTGGAGCTGACACCTCCCCTGGAAGAGCTGCAACTCCTCAGCTCTGACTAATTCGTGTTGTGCAATCTTTTAATCTTAGTGTTGCCAGGCCTTTTAGTTTTTTAAAAGCCAGAAATCTGACATTTTATATGAAACTGCCTAAATCTTAATAAAAAATTGTGTGTCAACTCTAATATCTTTGTGGCCTGAATAATGTCTCCAGGCCACCGCCAGTCAGCAACTGCAGTTCTGTGTTCTTCCCCCCCATGTGCTCTATTTTCCACAAATGCTTCTGCAACTCCATAGGCATGCCCGGCAGGCAGGCCAGCGTGGAATACAAGGCAGACAAGGAGGACAGGTCACAGGGACATGCCACTCCAACCACTACTCTTTCTCGCAGTCACAGGGAGACAGATTCTTTCCTTCACGGAGGGCACAGAAGGGGAAGGCCCCTGGCCCCACAGCTCTGGTGTGGGAGTAAATGTCAGCACCTGCCCCCTGCCCTGAAACTGACACAGCCAGTAAAGGAGAGGTTGATGATTGGACAGTGTTGCCTGCACTTGACTTGGTGAGGCTGGGGCAGGAGCCCTGTTGCCCTTCCAAGGCCCTCACCTGGGGAGCTGAGTTCTCTGTGGAGAGCGTTCTGCAGGAGCATCTGGTCTACCACACTAGGGCACCTCAGCTCCACTGTGGTGCCAATCTCTCTCTGCACAATCTTTGCCTTCTCTGTGTCATGGAAATCAGTATCAAACCCAGACAGGAGCTCAATGTTCTCATAGGAAGCATTCAGCTTCTTGATTCCCTAAGCCAGGGTGGTTCAATCTTAGGACTTCTCTGTGTCTGCCACACAAGACTGGTGCTCAGAGAACTGGGGTGAGGGAGTCTGCAGACTTCACTGTCATGGACTTCCATGGTTGGTATTGTCGACAGGGTCTTTCTCCAGGGGATAGCTGGATAGATAGGTTCTGAACCACTGCAGATCGACTTCCTGAGTGTTTTCTCAGCCTCCAACCATATCTATAAAAAGCTAAGACCTGAAAGCCTTCACCTGGACCTCTGAGAAGAACCGTTCAGCATACCAGGAGGTTGGGGTTCGTCAAAAGACAGGCTCTGAGGACCTACTCTCACTGATTCTGAAGACCACTCCTGAGTCTTTGGGCCCTACTTATGTAATTACATCGAGGCAAAGGAGTGAGACTACTGTGAAGGAGACAGCAAAGGGTCTCTGCACTCACCGTGTACTCTGGGGGTATCCTGGCACCGAACCCAAAGGCTGGGAACATTTTGTCACTGAAATAAAAAAAAAAAGAAGTTGCTTTATTTATCATCTAATGAGGAAGAAAAACATGAACCCGGTTACCTTGCTAGGTATGTTGCTATGCCAGGTGCTGACTCATGCTTCTGGATTATTTGCGGTGCTGGAACAGGCAGATGGATGAGCTGGACTAGTATGGGTAATTAAAAACCAAGAAATCATCCCCAGAGTTTATTTAATCATTAGTCTGCAACTTCTTCCCTTACTTTTTGCGAGATTTGATAGCAAGGAATAAAATGGCCCCAGGATTTCCTCACCTCCATTACCCCTGTCCCTTTTGAAAAATGATCATGGCTTGTTAACTCCTATGGGTGACTGTGATAGATATATATTATCTTTTTAAATCCTTATAGGGAGAGATTATTGTACCCAGTTTACAAGTGGAGAAATGCCTTGGGAAGTAAAGTGACTAGTCCAAGATCATGCTGCTAGTTAGGGCTAGGGTTCAAGTCCAGACAAGCCTGAATCCAAGGGGATATTAAACAGTAATGGAAAGCTTGGAAGTCTGACTTATTGACACAATTTGGTTTCATGGACAGAACTCACTGTATCCACTACTTTATCTCATATAAGCAGCAATAAATTGTTTACATGTCTTTTCTTGTCTCCTCAATTCAAAGGAATGCTGCATTTTACACTAATATCTCTATAATCTCCACTGCCTCCCTGCCTCAAACTGACCCTTGCCCCTGACTTCAGAGTGATACTTGCCATAGAGTGTGTGCCTAATAATATTTAATGGCTAGATAAGATAATACATAAATTGAATCATTAAGATATGGTTATGTAAAGAAGAAAAATTCTTGTGAAAACCAATGAGAGTCACATATATGCTTTTTGGTTTGCTTTCTCTTACAGTATTGAATTCTCTCAATTTACTCATTCACATATGTTATATCTTAACTCTAACTTTACTGTACAATGGGTGAGAGGTTGGGGAGAAGCATGAACACTTCTTAACATTAATGTCAGCCAGGCACTATGCTAGGCATTGAATATACTTATTTAATTTTCAAATAACCTTTGAAGTTTCACCTACTTATTATTTCCACCTTACAGGTGAGTAAACAGAGTCTCAGAAAGGCTAAGAACGTCTTAGGAACCCTAAGGTGTTTCCCAGGGAGAACTGTGTGACTCCAGAGCCCTTGCTTTTTCCATTAACGATTACACACAGCATTCAATGTGATTTCCCTATGGCACTTCCCGCAGCAAGGCCCCCTGGCTAGAAAACACAGAATTCTACCCTTAAGCAAATTCTGTGCTGTCAGAAGATTGTTGCAATGGACACTCTGGAATAGTGCTCTTGTCAGAGGGCATGTCCTTCTCACGCCATTTACCTTTTACTTTCTCTCCCATTAAAAACACCGCTGAGATATGTTCTTGGAACAATCCCCACATTTCTCAGTTCTTTGCGGAGTTAGTTTTAGAGAAAAGAAAATTCAGGCTAGGGCTCACTGTCCCCCGGCATCTCTATAAGCAAAAGGGAACACCCGCTCCCCCCAACCCCACCCTGTGATTGACTGAGAAGTCAAAGCAGCAGAGTCCCATTCTCACCCATCACCACCTGTCTCATTTAAACATCATTAGTAGCCAAGAATGGCTTCAGTGGAACTTGACCAAAACACAGCTGGTGTGACCAAATTTGGGGTAGGGATTGGTAGGTGCAAGGAAGCCGGAATTCTGTGAAACCAAATCTGAATTCTCCAGAAAATCACCAACTCCCCCCTTTTCCTCACTGTTGTGTATATATGAGCTTTGTGGCACATTGCAACTGGCATGTTTTAGAATAGGCATTAATGCTGATAAACAGAAAATCACAACGGCTTATAAAGCGTCAGCCACAGCTCTGAGAAAAAATACTTCTGGTCCTTGAAAACATGAAATCCTTTGCCGCAGCAATGCCTCCTTAACCACAACAAGGGCCAGCAGGTGTGGGGAGGAATCTACTGGGGAATTTTATAGGTAATTTCCAGTCGAGTCTGGAAGAAAGCTTTCAGGGATGGAGGATGGGTCCTAGTTCTTTCAACTAAGAGATGGTTCAGAAGTCAAAACAGGAACCCAGGAGGCACCACGGACTTTATTTCATTTTCTTCTTTGGTGAGTTTAGGAAGGGCGTGATCTACCATTCCACTTGTTTCTAAACCAGTGTTCCAGCCTTAATGACACTCCTTTACACCTTCTCAGCCACCCGTGGGAATTTGAACTTGCTGAGCATGATGTGCTGCTATGTAACTGAATTTGAAGCATATGCAGGTGGAGAAAATGCCTCACCTACAAGTTTAATTAATGAGCTGGTGGAGCAGGGTGGGGAGCGGGCGGGCAACAATCCTCTGAAGTTAGTCACCACAAAGACCCCAGCTAATAAGCACACTGAAGACAAAATGTCAAGCCTAAGCACAATGAGTTTAAACACTGCTCTTCCTGATTAAAAATGAAACTAGGCAGAGAGGAGTCTTATTATGCAAGAGGCAAGAGAAGGCAAGGTGAGCATCAGCAGGCCAACACGTCACAGAACTCGAGACTGGGTCCACTCTGCGCCGAGTGAAGGGGCCATTTAGCGAGTATTGGGAAAATGGTTGGTGAAAGCTGACTATATGGAAAATTCAGGGCACATCATCACACACCCCTGAAAGCAATCTCTCTTACTATTGTAATAAGATAGTATAAAATACAGTGAGAGAGCCTATGGCCTTCAATGCTAATGAGCATACTGTTCTTGACTTCTTTGGGAATGACCGTGGTCGAAGCATCTCCAAATGGAAGATTCATCTTCCGCCACCATTTTTACCCTCCCTATTAGGAAGACTTTGAACTAAAGCAAGAAGTTAATCAGAATAAAGACAAATTACTGCATCCACAAGAAAATGGAGACACACTCAGAGCAAAATGGCACTTTTGAACACCTAGATATTTAATAAAGATAGTTCTCTAAAACAGTGGCTTTAAAACAGGGGTACCTGAAAATGCAGACATGCAAAACCCTTCTGAGGCTATAAGAGTGTGTTTTTTTGCTGTTTGTTTGTTTTTTCTTTTAAGGAAATCAGTATCCAGTTTCTCAGCTCCCTACATATTCTTTGCTGAAATTGATCTTCTGGGAAGACCTGTGATGGAGACCTGCTCTCCACTCACACCTTTCCTTTCAGAATTACCCTTTCCTTTACCCAGTCTGACTCTTAACCTCCACAGTGAAAAACACTCTACAGGAACAATTCTAAATGTGAATGATTAAATTGTTTTGCAAGACATGTAGTTGCCAATTTTTGCTTTAAAAAATTGTAAGAAGTGCTGATGTCAGCTGGTAGATTACTAAAAATGTATTTTGATAATAGACCACTATATGATTGTTTTTTATATATAACTTAGAACTGAACAATTCTACTAGTCAAACTCTTTCCATCACCACATACTTACTTGTAAGAACAAGTTTCCTTAGCATTCACACTGATAAGAACAAAATATTAGAGTAAAATTGATGCTAGACTCTCCCACTCTGGTAGTAGGTAATATTCACCTACAGATCAGGAAACTAATTAAAAAACACCCAATCTTACCTCAGACAAAGGTTGAATCTCCAAAATATACAAAGAACTTACACGGCTCCACTCTAAGAAGACATCTAACCCAATTAAAAAATGGGAAAAGGACTTGAACAGACACTTCTCCAAGGAGGACATACAGAATATCCAGAGACACATGAAGAGATGCTCGATATCGTTAGCCATCAGAGAGATGCAAATTAAAACCACAATGAGATACCCCTTTACACCGGTCAGGATGGCTATCATAAACAAACAACAAATGTTGGAGAGGTTGTGGGGAAAAGGGGTCCTTAGTTCACTGTTGGTGGGACTGCAGACTGGTACAACCATTATGGAAAACAGTATGGAATTTTCTCAGAAAAATAAAAATTGACCTGCCTTTTGACCCAGCAATTCTACTGCTAGAATTATATCCCAAGAATCCTAAAACATCAATTTCAAAGAACCTATGCACCACAATGTTCATAGCAGCACAATTTACAATAGCCAAGAGTTGGAAGCAACCTAGGTGCCTGTCAGTAAATGAATGGATAAAAAAATTGTGGACATTTACACAATGGAATTCTATGCAGCAGAGAGAAAGAAGGAGCTACTACCCTTTGCAACAACATGGATGGAACTGGAAAGCATTATGCTGAGTGAAATAGGCCAGGCGTTGAAAGACAAATACCATATGATCTCACCTTTAACAGGAAGCTAAACAACAAAACAAACAAGCAAGCAGAATAAAAACGAAGACACTGAAATAGAGAACAAGTGGGCAGTGACCAGAGGGGAGAGGGAAGGGAATTTAAGGGGGGAAAAGGGGAGGGATTTTGAGGAACAAGTATGAAAGACACAGGGACGAGAACTAAGGTGGGTGGAAATAGGAGGGAGGTGGGGAGCATGGGGTGGGGGGGGGGGCTGGGATGGGAGAAATAGATAAAAAACTGTACTTGAAAAATAACTAAATAAAATTTAAAAAAAAACACCCAATTTGTTTCATTAGGAGTTTTTATTTGTTAGAGGCAATAATTAGATATTAAAATTTCAAATGTATTTGTTCATTTGTTGAATTGTGCATTAATAATGATTCTAATAAAACTCAACTAGAAGATATTTTTAAAGTACTTAGAATATTTTCATCACAGAAAAATTTTAGAAATTGAAATTTCAAAGTTGATATTCATATACTTAGGCTAGAAACATGTGATAAGGTGATTGATAAAAGAATTTCAAACCAAAAATTTAAAGATATGTTATGATGAAATCCTATGGGGGAAGGGAGTGGAAATAGGAGTTTGTGAAAAAGAAAAACAAACAATTGAGACTCTCCACTCAGACTTCCGCCAAGATGGAGGCATAGGTGGATGTGCCGTGCCTTCTCACACAACCAATTTAGAGACAACTAAATATTAGCAACAGAAAACACAGCCAGAACACGGAAAATTGAACTT